TTGGATCTAAATGATATTTAATAGTTAGAAATTATTTGACTTGCATTTCACAAGTGACATGTAATGCAAAAAGTATTACATTTTCAGACCTGTATAAAATTCTGGGATACATTCATCAGGAGTCCATTCGAACAATCTTTGTAATGAAGATGGATACTCATTCGGCTCATACTTCGTTCTTACATACTGACATAACACCTATACAAATAAAATAACACAGTCAGATAATACATAATAGATAAAGTGAGCTACTTTTAAAGATTAACAACAAACCGGAATAGGAGTTTTTCGAGCAAGATACACATAATAAGTGATATCAGATAAAATATCGGTGATGTGATGAGGTACTGGACCATCATATGTAAAATCCAGTTGTTCATCACCTATAATAACAAATACTATTAACATTCAAACCTGAACACAATAATAAAAGGAGATACTTTGGGTCTATTTAATAATCGAATTATATTTGCCTTGCCTTTGTTTAGGCGAAATTTGGTTTTTGTGAAATCCCGCCAATTTTCTGAAACAGATGCACCGGTAAAATCCGTAATCCATGGAAAAATTGGATGAAAATTTGGGTCACCAATCCTTCTGCCTATGTATGAATCGATTTAATAAGATAATGAATTTATTTATTAAGAACAAACAAAATCTCTACTAACCCGCAAGATGATTCAAAGCCATTATATAATCAAAATTAGATATCTTTCCATGTACCCATTTCATTGTGAGAGAATCATCTTGAATTTCTATAATTTTGCAATAATTTTAATTTCACTATACACAACATATATATATATAATTTATATAAAACTACAACTAGATACCATTTGGAATATTTTCCAAAGCAAAATCATGATTTATATGTTGATTTGTTTTATCTAATTAAGAAAAATTATAAATTACTTTATATATTATTAACGAGCATTATTAAAAACTTACATTATCACAAAATGCAAACCTGATAAATCTTCAGTTCTTGGTACGGAACATTCAAATCCTGTAAGTGTCACCCATAGATTTTCATCCACCAGAATGTTAGATGGTTTAAGTCTACATAAATGATAAGTTTGAATGGTTAACTAGAATATAAACTTTTTTTTTTAAAAAAAAAAGATCAATTAA